CTTTTAATTTCGCTACACAACGCATCACTCATTCTCCATTTTTAGTGTAACTGAAGCCTTTAATACTTTTACATACTCTTCCTTCTTCAATATCATAGATAAACCCTCAGCAGATAAAAGTATGGAGAAAGAAGACATCCTTCCTTAGTCCAAGGGATGGTGTGATGGCTTCTGTTGTAACTCCATTAATCAGAAAGACAGCTTTGTAGTGGAATACATTCTTGAGTTAGTATATAGTCGTATAAACTTATTGATAAGTGCGTTTTGCGCATTTATTTAGACCACAAAATATGAAAAATTGTCGATGTATATGTTGAAATATGGTTTAATTTGATATAATTTGTATTTGTAGGATTACATTGATGGATTGAATGAAGAGTATGCAAAAGCGAAAAAGGACCAAATTGGAAGAAAATGAAACTTTGGGGGACCAAAATGCAATTATTTAAAAGATGATCCGAATGGCGAATCAAGTATGGAATTGAGCTAATTAACACATTGTGATGTCATAGAATGTTAGAAGAAGAAGGAGAAGGAAGTAATGTCAAAAAGTAAATGAAATAAAATTTTGGGACCAAATTGAACCAAATGGAAAATACTTTCTACCATGCAGTCGCATAGTAGAAACTTCACCCTGTCGCCCAAGAGGTAACAGGGAAAAATTGCTGCCAAATTGTTATAAGCATGCAGTCGCATGGTTCAATTCCGACATGAATTTTTCGGTTTCATTTTTCAAACCAAATCTCTTATGAAAAGATATTTTGACGCCCTATATAACCTTAATCTCGTCCAGAATAAGGGTTTAAGCATTATTTGAGAGATAAAAGCATTGAAGAGCAAGGAAGAAGGCAAAACGAGGGATTTCACTCCAAGATTCAAGATTTAAATTCAAGAATTGAGTAATGTCTTCTCTTAAATATTTTTCTTGTTCTTTAATTTTATTCATGTTAGACTATATTTTCATTGTACTAGGTGAACGATGAACCTCGCGATATAATCTTTTAATTCTCTATTTTGCAAT